GTGGGGGGGGGAGAGGGTAAGAGCAGAGGGTGGGGTGGGAACCAGGTGGAGGGGAGAAACCGGGGGAAAAAAGAGTAACAACTGTAATAATCTGAACAATAAAGATTTAATTTAAAAAATAATAATTAAAAAAAGTTTAAAAATATATATACATAAACTTAGGTATATAATTTATATGTAGAAATAGAATGTCTTATACAGCACATCATTATAAAAAAAAAAACAACCTTATAGTAGTAGTGTCTTGCCTTGGAAACAGAACTAGAAGCAATACTCTAGGTCACTATTTATTCACTGCTGTCCACTCAATGAAACAAGCAACCTGTTCATCATTATTAAAAGGTAATCAGATCATCTGAGTAAGACAAAGCCGCTTGCAAAGAGGAATGGAATCCATACAGGAAATGGCAAGAAGTCTTCTGAAAACATCATCTATTCTCTAAGGACAAAATTGCTACATCAAATGGGATTGTCACTTTATAATACATCTTGTGGCTTCCATGTGGAAGAAATAAAAAGAAAACTTCCACAGTTTCCTGGGGGAATCCAGTGACCTTCGGAAGGAAGACAATGGCATTGGCTTTTCTTCCTATGAACAATCCAAGTACAAGGAATGACTTCTTAGGTGTTAACTTTCTCCTCAGGATCTGATCTGAAAGCAATAAAAGTACTAGGAACCCCTCCCCCCCCAAAAAAAACCCAAACAAAAACAAACTATGTCATATCATAAAATTTCCACCCAGTTAGCTGTTCTCATACTATATCCATTTAGATGCATAATTATTTCCTGATAATCTGGCCACGATATTAACGTCTAGATGATTATGCTTCGTAACTTGGAAAGTCAATGAAAGAGCTGCATATGTAGCTTTGCAGTGGTAAAGGTGGGGGTGTGTGTGACGATTACATTCCAACATAGGAACTCAAATCTGGAGAACCCTCTTTTCATTTAAGAATAATTAATAAGGAAAGAAAACCTCACGAGTCCTACAAAAAGAAACTACTTGGGGGACGGGGGGGGGGGGGGGGGGGGG